GCTTGGTTTACAAAGGATAGGACCACTGCTGCTCTACTCTCATCGGCTTGCGGGTCCATAGGGGTATACAGTCTAAACGCTTCCATTAACCTCTCTAGATATGCTGCAGGGCTCTCTGTCGGCCCCTGCCTGACTGAGTTTACCTTGGCCAAATTAGTCGGCTTCCTTGCCGCCGCTCAGAGACCGGCCATTAGAATCTGGCGGTACTTTTGGAGACGCTCCCTACCTTCTGTTTGTTCAAAATCCCAATCAGGACGAGATAACGGGAACCCAGCATCAATACAATTCTGAAGCGCTGTTGGCTGTCCATTGTCCCCGGGTACATTTTTCCTGGCCTCGGTCAAGATTCTCTCTTTTTCTTCAGTGGTGAACAAAACCTGTAATAGCTGCTGACAATCATCCCAACTGGGGTTATGAGTAAACAATAGAGAATCTAACAAATTAATTAAGCTTTGGGGGTTTTCAGCAAAGGGGGCGTTCTGCGCCTTCCAGTTATACAGGTCCAATGTTGAAAACGACCAGTACTGCCAGGTTCTGCTTCCGTCCTCACGAGGTGGGCCTATTGCTCTGAGGGGCAGCGCCTGGACAGTGGACGAGGGGGCTTCAGCCTCCGGGGAGCCCCTCTGGCGTGGGCGGAGACCGGAGGCTGGGTCCATAATGGCAGGCGGCGCACTTGGAGCACTTGTTCCACTTCCTCCCGATACTTGTGGAGCCTGGAGAGGGTGGGAAGGTGGTGTAGGGGCATAGGGAGGTGGAGATAAGCCACTTTCTAGATCTATCAGATCGGGGTGAGTTTAGGAATCAGACAAAATGGGTGGAACGGCTTCTTGGGACTCAGGTCGTCTCGGTTTCTCCTTTTCGCTAGTCCCGAGTGAGGATGTTAACACCTTAACAGAGAGATTCGGAAGAAAAATTTTAGCCATGGGGGAGAGTTAGTCACCTTATCTTGCCACACTAAAATGTAAGGAAATTGGTCCGGGTGCCCTTGGGGGCCTGGCACTTGGACTTGGTCGAATACGGCTGCAATCACCTTTCCATCCAATGAGCCTTCTGGAGGCCGTCCTACCTTAAAAGAGGGCCATTCTGAAGAGCAAAAGGTTATTAGTTTATTTTTCTTAACTATCACAGACAAATTAGACCCTCTGGTTTTAAACTCTGATAAATGTTCAACCATCAGGGACAGAGGGGTAGTCTGTCCCTATCCCATTTCAACCTCTTTTGAGAAAACACAGAACAAGTAAAAGACAAGTGGGCACACAACAAAAGACACGAAAGCAGACAACACAAATATCCGACACCCAGAAGAGATCTCGTTCCAGTACCACAGATTGGAGGTGCCTCTGCCCCTCCCCTGAAGGGGGCTACTCTTACCAAAAAGCGCCCACAGCCTGCCTGTGAGTTGGGGAAGGTCTCCTCCGGCGCGTCTGCCGGTTTCCATCCTTTCCTGATGGACCGGTATCCTTACGCAAAGGACGTATCCTGGTCCTGCCGGCTCCTGAACTTTCCTCTATTGTAGGCAACTTCACTCGTTCCGAACTTTCCTTTCCCGGCCAACGCACCAAATGTTGGACTCAGGTCTTGAAAGGAGTGTTGGCGCGAGGAAGCTACCACTGACACGATAATGCAGAAGCAAAAGGAAAGTTTATTGGCTAGCTCGAGCTAGGGTCTCCGCTTACACCGACGCAGCAGTTTGGGCAAAAGACCCTGTGCTCTCCTACAATTACATTTTTATAGGAAAAAATACAGGGTGGAGTAACATCAAAGCAAGAGGTGCAAATGATTGGTTGTTGCTAGGGGGTAGAAAAGGAGGGGAGGGGGTTTGAGGTAAAGCCCTGAGGCGTGGGGGATGTGCTTGAGTCCCCGGCACTATTGACTCCTGGTTAAAGAATTACCTGGAAGGCATTAGGACTCTGGCCTCACAGTATCCCTCCCTTGGTGCCTAGGAAAAAGAACAGGCTCCAAAAATATTTGTTGAATGAATGTATATCCTCAAGAATATAGCACAGTGCCTAGTACTAATTAAGTATGTACTCAGTAAATGCTTATAGAATGAATGTATGAATAGATTTAAGTTCTGACAATCAGACATCATGTTAAGATCTACCTTGCTTTATCTAAATAAATAATGGCTGTTTATGATACTTGGAGTCTCTGAGTGATGCGACCCTGACGTGGAATGCTTTTTAAATTGGGAGTTTAGGGTCGTTGGGGTAGAAGAGATGGGCCTAGCTGTTACTAGAGACTTGAACAGCTTTTACTTTCTTTAATCGCAGCTGGTTAGTCTTCTTCGTAATCAAGCAGTGAAAGGAAAAGCTGCTGGAGCACTCCTGAGAGGCATCTTCAAAGGTAATAATAATGTTATTTCTGTCTTGCTGGGTCTACTGGTAGATTTGTTTACTATTGGCACATATTGCTATTTTTTTACTATTTGAAGTTTTATTGGGACGATTGGGGAGTTGTACAGAATGAACTAAAGTAGCAATCTCTTAAGGCATTTGTTTGTTTATGTGTTCATTTGGAGAGACTCTGTTGGATATAGAGTGAGGTTGGCTGTAATCTTCACGAAACCCAATCACCCGGCCTGCATCTTTCGCAGTACCGCTGGGTGGATTCAAACTGGCACCGTTTGGGTTACTAGCCAAGTGCAAGCTTCTTGAGTCACCCAGGAACATTTAACAACCATCTCTTATCTTGTGGACATAAATCATTTTGCTGAAGGGAGTTGAAGTGGCTATCAGATTGTACTGCTGGTTTGGGGCCTTGTAAAGGGTACACTTTTCATAAAATCCACTTTGGTCTACTTGTGCTTTTAAAATTGTGGAGAAGAGAATAGCAATGTTTATTACTTAAATCTGTGCTTAACAAGTGGCTTGTTGTTGTTGTTTTGCCATCGAGTCAGCCCCAACTCATAGCGACCCCTCCTTGGTTTTCCGAGGCAGTATCACTACAGAAGTAGGATTGCCCAACCTTCCTTCCGAGGAGTGGCTGGTGGGTTTGAAGCTATAAATTTTAATGAAATGGACTATCTTTGGCTCTTTATGGGAGCTCTGGTAGCGTAGTGCCTAAGGCATTTGACTGCTAACTAGAAGGCTGGCGGTTCAAACCCACCAGCCACTCCTTGGAAGATGATTGGGCAATCTACTTCTGTAGTGATACTGCCTCAGAAACCCAAGGAGGGGTCTCTGGATTGGATCCGACTCGACAGCAGTGGGGGAGGGGGAGCTCTTTGTATAGAGATTCTTAATACCCACCTGCTTGAATTTGATTCCAACTCAGCATCCCTATAGAACAGAGTAGCACTGCCCAGAGTGTTTCCAAGGCTGTAACTCTTTACAGAAGCAGACTACCTCATCTTCTGGTGGGTGTAGCTGGTGGGTTTGACCCACCAGTCTTTTGATTAGCAGCTGAATGCTTTTAACCACTGTACCACCAGAGCTCCTTTAGCTTGAATAAAATTGAAGGCAAAAATTAAAAGTGATTTTGGACTCTTAAAACTAAATCCACTGCCATCAAGTCAATTCTGACTCAGCAGAACAGAGTAGAACTGCCTTATCAGGTTTCCAAGGCTGTAAATCTTACGGGAGCAGATTGCCTCATCTTTCTACCACAGCATGGCTGGTTGATTCAAACCACTGACCTTTTGGTTAGCAGCTGAATGCTTTTAACCACTGCACCACCAGAGCTCCTTTTTGGACTCTTAACAGGTTATTTTAACTTGGTTCATTTTTCTTCTCCTAGGTAAATTGGGTCTCTGTTATAAGACTACAAAAACAAATCTTACTATTTATGAAAGAACATCCCAAATTCGTTGTGTTAGCTTTATGAAAATTTATTAAATGACTTTTGTGTGAAAATATCAGACAAAAGAAAATGAACAAAAATCAGAAGTGGCTGCCCATAGTACTAATTGAGGGAAGAGTAGTTTGTTTCTTGGACAAACAAATCTGGGGCAAATTATCATGGCTCCCATTTCTACCTGTTTTGAAAACAGAGATGTGCAAAACTTCCTTTAAAGTAGCACCATCAAGTACTTGTGGAAATTACCTCCTAATCATTTTAATTCCTATTGGTGTATATGACCAATAGTTAACTAATGATAACATTAAAAATTTTTTTAGATATAATTCATATCCCATAAAATTCCACCCTTTCAAAGTATATGATTGTTTTTTAATTGAAATAAAATTTACAGATGACTATAATATTAAAACTTTTTAAAAGTTTTATTGAGCTTTAATTGACATGCCATACAACACTCATTTAAAATGTACAAGGCAGTATCTTTTAGTACATTCACAGAGTTGTGCATTCATTACTACAGTACATTTTTCATTACCCCAAAAAGAAACCCTACATCACTTAACCATCACCCCCAAGTTCTTTACCCTCCCCAACCCAGATCAGGAAACCACTAATCTGCTTTTTAGGAGCTCTGGTAGCATAGTGCCTAAGGCACTTGACTGCTAACCAGACGGCTGGCGGTTCAAACCCACCAGCCACTCCTCGGAAGGAAGGTTGGGCAATCCTACTTCCGTAGTGATACTGCCTTGGAAACCCAAGGAGGGATTGCTATGAGTCGGGGCCGACTCGACAGCAAATAACAAAAACAACAACAAATCTGCTTTTTGGCTCTATAGATTTGCCTATTATGGACAATTTCATATGAGGGCAATCATAGGACATGGAATCAGCCATCCTTTATGACTGTCTTCTTTCACTTAACATAATGTTATCAGAGTTCATCCATGTATATCAATACTTCATTTTTTTATTGCTCAATAATGTTCTGTTTTATGAATATGCCATTTTATTTATCCATTCATGAGTTTATGGACATTTAAGTTATTTTCACTTTTTGGCTATTAAGAATAATGCTTCTAGAACGTGTGTGTGTGTTTTCTTTTTTTTTTTTTAAATAAGTTTTTATTAGACATATGTTTTTATTTCTCTTGAGTGCATACCTAAAAGTAGAATTGCTGAATCATATGGTGACTCTTTAACTGTTGAGGAGCTGCTAGATTGTTTTCCAAAGCAACTGTACCATTTTACATTCCCATCAATACCGTAGGAGGATTAGGGTTTTAATAGGGATTGCGTTGAATTTGTACATCAATTTGGGAATTATTGCTATCTTAATGCAATTTATCCAGTCCATGAACACAAGATGTCTTTCTGTTTATTGATATGTTTTTAATTTCTTTCAATTAACATAATATTTCTCCACATACTTATACTTGTTACTGGTCTCCCTGATTCTAGCTGTCCTAGTAGATATGAAGTGGTATCTTGTCGCAATTTATCTGAAAGCTAATGATGCTGAACATCATGTTGTGTGATTACTGTGTGTTTCTATAGCTTCTTCAGAGAAATATCGGTTCAGATCCTTTCCCCTTTTATCTTTTTACTATTCAGTTGTAATAGTTGTTCATATATTCTAGATGTAAGTCAGATTTAGACATGATTCGCAAATATTTTCTTTCATTTTGTGGGTTGACTTTTCTTTCTTTTTTTAGGGGGATGGTGTCCTTTGAAGCACAAAAGTTTCCAATTTTATGATGTCCAATTTATCTAATTTTTGGTTACTTGTGCTTTTCATGTTATATCTAAGAAACCTTTGCCTAATCAGAGGTCATGAAAATTTATATCTATGTTTTCTTTAAAGAGTTTTATAGCTTTTGCTTGTATATTTACGTCTTTGATCCATGTTTGAGTTAATTTTTGTATATGATATGAGAGAAAGGCTCAATTTAACTCTTTCGTCACTGAATTATCTTGACACCCTTTTTGAGAATCATTTGGCCATAGATATATGGGTTTATCTAGACTGTCAGCTCTATACCCTTGATGTGTGTGTATATATATATCTCCATCCTTATGCTAGTACCACACTGTCTCAGTTACTATAGCTTTGTAGTTAGTTTTGAAATCACAAAGTGTGAATTCACCAACTTTTTCTTTAAGATTGTTTAGTTTATTCTGGGTCCCTGGTATTTCCATGTGAATTTTAAGATTACGTCATCAGTTCCTGCAAAGAAGGCAACTGGGGTTTTAATAGCGATTGCATCGAATTTGTACATCAGTTTGGGAAGTATTGCTGTCTTAATGCAAGTTGTCCAGTCCATGAACATGAAATGTCTTTCTGTTTATTGATATGTTTTTAATTTCTTTTAATTAACAATGACAGTTTTTGGATTGTAAATCTTACACTTCTTTTGTTAAATTTATTCCTTCATATTTTATCCTTTTTGATGCTATTATAAATGGAATTGATTTTATTTTCAAATTGTTCATTGCTAGTGTATAAAAAAAATAGATTTCTGTATATTGGTTTTGTATCCACTATGCTGGATATTAGCTCTACTATTTTGTGTATCTATTTCTTAGGATTTTCCATATATGAGATTGTGTAATCTGTGAATAGACAATGTTTTCTTGTCTAATTGCTCTGACTAGGACTTTCAGTACAGTATTGAATGGCAGTGGTGAGAATGGGCATCTCTGTCTTGTTCTGATCTGAAGGGGGATGCTTTCAGTCTTTCTCCATTGAGTATGATGTTAGTTGTGGGTGTTTCATAAGTGCCTTTTATCATATTGAAGAATTTCTGTTCTAGTGCTAGTTTTTTTAGTGTTTTCATAATTAAAGGGTGTTGGATTTTGTCAAATGCCTTCTCTGCATCTATTGAGATGATCATGTGGTTCTTTTCTTTTGTTCCATTAATGTTGCATATTGTATTGATTGATTTTCTAATGTTGGACCAGCCTTGCATTCCTGGGATAAATCCCACTTGATCGTGATACATAATCCTTTTAGTATGCTGTTGGATTTAGTTTGCTAATATTTTGTTCAAAGTATTTGCATCTATATTCATAAGGGATATTGGTCTGTAGCTTTCTTTGCTTGTGGTGGCTTTTTCTGGCTTTGGTAGCAGAGTAATACTGGCTTTATAGTGTGAGTTAGCAAGTGTTCCCTCCTCTTCTATTTTTTTGAAAGAATTTAAGAAGGATTGGTGTCATTTCTGTAAATGTTTGATAGACTTCCCATGAATATATCTTGTCCAGGACTTTTTTGTTTTGATTATGGATTCAGGTTCTTCCCATGTTACATGTCTTTTGAGATTTTCTGTTTCTTCTTGAGTCAGTGTAGGTAGTTTATATGTTTTGAGGAATTTCTGTTCCATCAAAGTTAACAAATTTGTTGGCATACAATTGTTCATGATATTCCCTTGATCATTTATTATTTCTGTAGGGTCAGTTGTAATGTTCCCACTTCCCTATCTGATTTTATATATTTGCATCTTTTCTCTCTTTTTCTTTGTCAGTCTAGTTAAAAGTTTATCAATTTTATT